TTTTTTTTTTTTTTTTTTAAAGTATCTCTGGATGAAATTCAGCACCCTTGAGTTAGCAAAGGCAGAAGGTGAAAGAAGTTGTTAGAGCGCTTGATTCTGGGACCTCTGTGCAGAGCTCTCAGCTTCTATTCAGGTCAGTAGGAGGCAAGAGTACTCAGCAGGAAGCAGCTCTGCTTTGTTAATATTTGATAGTACAATAAAGATAATAAAAGATTTTAAAAATAAGACACACCACAGCATGAAAATTAACTACAACAGCCCCTGCTGTTGAATCACTGCCAGGAAGTGAGACGGTTTTAGTTTAAGTTGCGTGTGAATTAGTGAAGTTCTATATAGCCAGGTAATTAAGAAAAGCAACCTCTACAAGTCTTGGAAGAGACTGAGTCATATCCCCAGTTGGTGCAAAATAAGCATAACTCCACCCATTTTTGTGCTACTTCACTGATACCAGCTGTGAACCCTGATTCCTTGTAGAAACCTAGTAAAACAGTCAAAAGGTGCCTGCTGAAATGCATCCTTAATATACAAACATCACAAATGTGTTATTAAAGTGGAGCAGAGATTCCCACTCTATGATCCCACCACAAATATGAAGTGTGGCCCCAAACCTGCTCAGAGCAGGACTGACACATGGCAAGCAAGGTGCATTTTTAAAGAGTTACAGAATAAGACTGAACTTGTTATCCAAATAACACTTTTTTTTTTTTTAAATAAACTGGCCCAAAATTCTCCTCCAACATTTTAAGACAGCTCAATATTTCCAAAGTGAATATAACTTTCAAAAACAACACTGATTTAAAAAGATGTTCAATGATACCTTAAAAAATACCCAGAATATCAAATTAATTCCAGTCCAGCGTTATAATTAGTTAAGAATACCTTCTGAAAATTATATCCTCACAAAAAAATGTGGGTACTGAAGTTAAAAGCATCAGAAACATTATGTACTTGAAAATACCACTGATCTTTTAACATTTAAAAACAAATCAGAACATTCTTTGGAATCACCAAGTTATTAAAACATGTGAGTTTCTCTACAGTCTCCACACTGTCTTTTCAAACCAGTCTGTGTACAGATTAAGTCTCTGAGCAGTTTAATATCCACTGTCGGATAATACAGAGTCTCTGACCAGCAGGAGGCTACATTAAACAGGAAAACATTGGCATTCTCTTTTTAGTAATGACTTCTGCCAAAAATAGAGACTTTCGAGCACAAGACAGACAGCCCTGTTGTAGGAGATACTTCTTTTCTTTTCTAAAATGCATTGTATGTGTACTTCCAGTGCAAATTTTTTCAGCATTTGCAACAGGCGAGAAGGGGGAGGAAGAGAGACACTCTCCTATGGTCTTGCTTGGAGGAACCAACAGCCATAGCACACTGACCTACCAGCTCTCCTTAACTGTTGACAACAGTCCCCACCACTGGGAACTTGAAATAGCTTATTAAAGATTTCCTTTTTAAAATAAACAGATTACAGTTTAGCATGAAATCTGGCCGTGGCTATGGTTCTATGTGCGTAAGGATTGGTTAGAGATGCTTTCCCCTTTCAGTACTGGTTGGAGTTCATTAAAAACAAGTCTGTAGTATTTCTCCACGTGTGTCATGAAATGTGAGAGATCTGTCTGACTCGGGTTTGTATTTCCTGTCGACACAAAGGGCAGGTCTCCAGCTGCAAGGCACACTCCATGCACAGGTCACTGAAGGAGAAGAAAAATCAGTTAAAGCCTGCATTTACAGTATGAAAAACTGATCTGAGTACTAAGCAGTTTAGTTAACCTGCTAGGAACAGTCAAGATAAATTCTTCTGTGTCGAGATTAGGAATTGCAAGTCAGGTGTTGTGGATCCAGATGCTTAGAGAAGAGCTCCTGCTGCTCAGCATCCTAGATGTTAGACTGCTAGGGCAGTTGGTCAGGATTATATGTGCATGCTTTTGTTAATCTTAACACTTCTCTAGTCTGGAGAACTGCAGTCCTGGTGCCCTGCATGAAGCTGTCCCCACTTCTTGCTAGGGCACATCTCATCTCTTTGCAGCATCCAGACAGAAGACCCATGGTAAGACCACTTCCACCACTGCTCTAAAAACACTATGAACTGGACTTAACTAGATTAAACTGCTAGTAGGCTGCTTAAATGCAGGAAAGTGCTATTATGGTATTACTCATACTGCTGTCCCATTTTTAAGCTTTTAGAGGAATTTGTGACTTCAGACAATCCATTTGTTGAACATTTAGTGAGTATTTGAGTATATAATGAATTTTCTGCTCTCCTCACATAATCTGGATTTCATGGCACCAGTACTAAACCAGTACTCATTGGTAAAACCTTTGACATCAGGGAATTATGACTCATTAGCCCAGCATACGTACATAGCCCCAGGACTTCCCCAACCCCAAACATACACACAATTAGGGATTAAATCTGCTCAGGGGTAGGGTAAGGGGAACAGTGGAAATACTAAGATCAACCTCTGTCACATCCTTAAAAGGAGGGCCTATTTCCTTTACACTGGGGAGTCAATCAAGATAAGCAGGTCTCACCCAAGCTGAATGTTAAACACAAACATTTTCCTGTTTCTTAGGTTTTGGGTTATTTTTAAGGCTTTACCTGTGTCCACACGGCCTGAGTTCTGTGTCTGCTACCTCATCACAGCAAAGTGTGCAGCAGTTCTCTCGGATACTCACTTGCTTCAACAAAGCCAGGCGCCTGTGTCTGAAGGAGACACCCCCACCCACCCA